ACAGTAGCAATTATATTATTATTATTAGCAGTAAACAAGTGATTACCAACACTCTCTGGAAGGGACCCCACCACAGTGCTCAGCACACAGAGAGAGCAACAGCAGCAGTGGCAGTTCCTTTGTATTTATTCCACAAATATCAGCAGCATCATGAGAGCGCTGTTTATCTTCTTTCTTTTCCTTTTTAGCAGCCACTTCGCCTTGCTTAGTGTCTTTACAAACCTTGACAGCATCATCATAGTTCTTTCGTAATTCGATTTTTATTTCCTATTTTTTATTCTTTGATTCGTCATACGTGCCTATTGTTAGCTTTAACACTAGCATGAATAATATCAACATAGGGGAGATCATGGTATAGATTGTTTAGGGAAAAGTCAAGTATGTAAACTGCGGTTATTCCGTTTCTTTACACATAATTCTGTGAAGGTTAAGAAATTAAAAAACTATTCAAATATCCGCCCACTCAACATTTCCTTAAGCGCAAAGTGATGCTTCTCAATTTCTTTGACCGAATCATTAAATTCATGCTTATACTTATTACGAGCGGCAGCTTCCTCTTTTTCCAATGCTGCCATTTTAACAATTCTTTCCTGGATCCAATTTACCAAGTTTTCATATAATGACGTCATCCTTTCCAACCAATTTTGCCACTCCTGCTCAATTGTTGTGCGTGCGAAAGATTCGAATTCTTCAAGCTGTCTACATTGCCAATTGATCAATGCTTGATTCTTGTGAATTATCGACCTGGTAAAAGTACTCATGTCTCCAACTGTCACCTCTAGTGCACTTATTCTTCCATGCAATATATCATTTTCTCGACTCTTTTGGTCCAATTCGTCCTTTAAGGCAGCGATCTGTTGATCCTTCTCGTCCAGTTGAGCATTTAAATCATCAATCGTTTGACTGTTCTGACCGATTTCATTCTTCAACGCACTACTCTTACACTTACTACCAATAGTGTATCCTGTTGAAGAGTTTTTCGCACATTCACATATTTTTTCCTCCAACTTCTCCGCGTATTGTACACCCTTGGGTTTGAACTGATTCCACTTGGCTAACTCAGCGTCGTACTCTGGTTTGGCCTTATCCCAGGCGACACGATCATCTTCTTGTTCCCATTTATTTAACGCTTCCACGGCCGCATTCCGGGCATTAGAGAGGGCTTCACCATTGGCTTTTATGCGATCACAAAACAATTTCCTTGACCTATCTAGCTCATCTGCAATGTTGTCATAACCTTCTGCCTTGAGCTGATAATACACCCACCTAACTTTGCAATCCAACTTGTACCATTTTATCCAATATGGAGAGTAATCACTGTAAACAACCTCCATTGTGTGAGCCAACTCTGCGCGATGCTGGGCTATTTGCGTTTCCTTGGAGTCACCTCCATGCCTGTATTTCATCCAATCTGTATAGCACGAATTTCTTTCACATTCAGTAGCATACCTTTGTTTAACCCTTTCAATAAAAGTCATTTCCGTTTTGTTTATTTCTGCCCAAGCGAGAAAATACTCTTTGGTGGTCAATTGTGACTTCCATACCAAATCCCATTTCTCATCCCTTTCCTTCTTAGCAGCTGCCTCATCCTGTTTGGCAGCTTGGTAACGCTCGACGGCGACATCATATTTGGCCTGTAATTCAGAATCCGTGCTCATGGTTGAATTTTATAATAACTGTGTAAATATCTACATGTGGAAGAGATTGTGACACAAAAATTTGGAACAGTCAACAATGTGGATTATAAGTGATTCAGTTACAGCAGTTATGAGGAAAAACACAAACAAACAAGACTAGTAGAGTCAGCACATCATCAATCTTTAAACAGAACACAAAACACAAAAGAAAAATTAACATTGCTTTCTTTTTCTTATTATTATTGTTATTATGATTACTATCCTGCTTAGAATCATTCATATGGTTATGGTCACTGTTACTACCATCCTGTACAGATGAGGATGCAACAGGTGGTGTTGGCGTTGAGGCACCTCCCTCCATTCTCACGTACACAGTTGGCACCGGACGTGTACTCGCATCCTTCTTCCATTGGTGAAATAGTTCCNACCGGAAGAAGAAGCAGAAGGAGCAACAATGTCAACAGGAGAAACAGAATGAACAGTGAAATGACAAGTCATTGTTGGTGGAGGACATCGAAGGCACATAATATCCCCTGGCCGCACATTATGGGCACTGTTCAAGATGGTCTCTGCAGAAGTTGCCATGAAACCACCAACAGAGAAAGGAGTATCATCCTCCACTACACGCAAGTTATGTGGCTCCACAACAGTAGATATTAGAATACAAGAAGAAGAAGAAGAACACGACGGGGCGCAATTGCATATCTTACAATAACTTCATACACAGACAACCATCAACACGAGGAAAACCAAGAGTTGTGTCAGTTAACACAGGTTTGGCATCCTCGTTATCATTAGCGTCACTCTTCTTGTTATTGTTCTCGTCACTTGAGTTCACAGGTCTAATGGAAAGAGTGAGAATAATAAAAAGAAAAAGAAAGAGACACACATAGTGAGTGGATGCAGGACACAAATACTCA